TACTTTCCTGAGTTAGGGGATGCTGTTGCTGATCACGCAGAGCGCCTGTTTCTTTTTTAGAGAATAGAGAACTTAGTATTTATTTTTTGACGTAAGGTGTGTATATATATTTTAAACATGGTTCTTTTAAACTTACCGGTCGCCTTGCAGTTTACTCTCTCGAGTGTTTGCTCTTCACGTAAAGCTTGTTCATATGCTCTAAAATAGCTGCTCCCAGGGATAAAAAACATTTTATCAAAAATATATCTAATATATACACAAAGAGTTGTAAACGTAGCAAAAATACTTACTGAGCTGCTCTTCGGGGCGCATGCCATTGATGCTGCGATAAGCTGCCTCTGATATGAATGAAATGATCTTGGTTAACATACACGCTTTCGTAAAACATAAAAATAAAATTGCATCACTTTTTTTCTTTTCAGGGGGCTACCTGGATTCATTGCGACGTGTGGAGAGCCTGAGTGACTAAGTGTGAGACTTGTGTCTGAGTGTTTTACCCCCTGTTTTTGCACCTCTCTTACAAAAAACACAGCTCTGTGATGAGGAACATATGCTAGCCTCTGATTTATCTTGAGCAAACATTGTTTTTACCATCTAAATAATTACCCCCAATAAATAACTCAAGGACATCCGTTGTCTCATGTTCCTCATGGGTCAAAAATGTGCAAAATCACTACTCTGTTTTAGCTGTATGTCAATTTTTGTTTTATTCATCTCACATTACATAATAGCGGCTGTGTCTTTTTTAAATAGCTGTTTCGCACCTCTACAATTACTCAAACCTAACTCAAGGACATCTGTCGTGTCCTCTTTTGAAACTAAATATCTGGTCAACTCTATTTAATATACAAATCACTACTATACTTTCTATGTACCATTTGTTTTATTCACTATATAACATTACAAACTGCATCATTACCTGGTCTTTATTTTTTTTAGATTCATCTATCAGGAGGGAGAGAGCAGCTATCCCCCAGAGCACCACGCAGGGAGGGGCTATGAGTGATGGGGGGTGATCTTTGACCTGAGAGAGGAGGGTGGAGGGGGAATGGAATTTACATCTGTGGGGGGAGGGGGCTTGGGGGCGGGACAAAGCTTCTGATTGGATAACCTTTCACCTAGAACTGTCAAATCGAGTTTGATGAAAGCCGGTATCTATATTGTGTGTGTGGCGGATTATGAGACAATGGGTCCCTGGGCACAGACGTAACAGGCCCCATCACTCTTCCAGAAGCAAGACTTTGGTTTTTAGGTTCTAGGTTTTTACATAAGATTTAATTAGGAAAAGAAGTTTTTCTCCCCTTTCGCCTCGATGTTATTCCCCACTCCAATCAGTAGGTGGCGCCTTACGATGGCTTGCAAACCATCATTAAACAAGAAGAGGAGGAAGAAGAAGATTGAGGACGGCGCAGGCTTTTCTGCTTCTCAGGTGGGTAGCATTAGAAAATCACACTAAACATTTGATGTGCTTCGTTCTGTACGTTTGCAGTGAACAGGTGCTTCGCTGTTATTCTGAGATAACGCAGTTGTCCAAATGTATTTCTTTGAGTTTAGGTGCTACTTTATCTGGTGTTAGCTAGAATTTAATGCTAATGTTAATGTAAAGACGGCCCGTTAGCAAGCCTATGCTAGCAGGATACTTTCCACGTATAAGTTAGCCGTTCAGTACACTTTGGCTTTGCTTGAGCGTGTTCTCTATCAGTCTAATAGTTAAACCTGCTCAATCCAGGAAAAATCGCTATGCCTGAAATTGTAATTTATCATCTGTTGGATGTGTAGTCTTGTAGATTAAAGGAACGACGCGGAAGTTAGCATCCGGTTCATAGCCTTCGATTCGGTAAGGTACAAAGCATTAACCCTCATAATATGATTCCTTGACTATGAAAACCTGCTGGCATTTGGAATGACGCTGATACGTTTTTAACGTTATTCGAGAAAAATGATAGACATGACAGAAATTCACTTGTTTAGGGATAAGATGGGGACTACAGTGAGTGGACCACGGGCAAAGTGGTGAAGACTGGTAATGTCCAATTGACACCTGTATCGAACCACTTCATCATTTGTATGAGTATTGGTTCATTCATTCAAAGGTTTGGTTTAGTGCCATCTGGTGGCGAAATAGTATGCAGCAGAACAATGTCTGAATTATGTGATGGCTGTAACTAGGCTTTGTGTGAATAATGTGAAAACGTTTGTAAAGATTGATTGGTCAGTCGGTCGAGTCTATGAACATATGTAGTGTAGTATGTGGGAGAAGGCGTGGGGAAATGGAGGATGTGCTAGGATGTAATATGTGCGTGTGTAACTAGGACAGGGTGTGAATAAATACAAGGGATGAAGAATCAATCATTTTTATTCCTAGCAGGCTCCATGGTGATCACACACCAGTAGCAGTGATCATACCGACAGCAACTACGCACACACCTACTATGCCAGCAAACCCACATGTTGCACATCATCTTGGGTGGCTTTATACGCCTACGCACCTGCTGACGCGCGCAGCGAGATCTTACGTCGTGACACCTTATCGACGGTCTGAACTGGTCACGGGAGTCACTCAGGTCAGCCGTTTCTGCTTCGGTCGTCATTAGTCACGTGTCTTTTTGGCAACAATACAGCCCTCGAGGCAGTGGTTCGCGGAAGATCCCTCTCCGAGTTCGAATCATGTATCGAGGCCTCGGTGTCAGATGGCCATCACTAGTGAAGACATCACATTTCTGCAAGCTTGTGTTCTGCTTGTTCATAATCTGTTTGATAAACTGCTCATACAGTCTCCGTTACTGGCTGACTGTTGCACTGTGCAGTGATCCTTCCCTGCTGCCCCCCTTGTGTGTAAGAGAGGAGTGTAGTCCTTCCCTCCTCTAAATGGAGACTGACATAGTACAACAGCTAAGTAGGATGATCTATGTCAACCCTTGGGGTTATGCTAGGTGAGGTTACAGCAAGCACGGGGTGAATCGCCGGTTAGGCTCTGACAGTGGAAATGCAGCTACAATGTGTAGCAGGAACACCTGCGTCCTAAGTGCGTCTGCCTTTTAATAGAGCCTAGCTTGGTCAGATAATGAAAACACTTGAACAAATTCTAAATTGGCATTATGTGGATAGACTGACCACATTCCCAGTCCAAGTGGTTACTTAAGTCGAGACTCCTTCAGTCCTTGTCTTGCACAGTGGGGTGTTCTATGGATGAAAATGTTAACAGCTCCAAGCCTGGCTCAAAATCTCTGCCATTAGGCTCTCACCCGGCTGTCACTGCATAGAGTAGATTTTTCCCCAGCTCTGGTGCTTAACTGGGCTCCTTCAGTCCCTGTCTTGCACAGTGGGGTGTTCTGATTGACAGCATTTGGTTTCCATTGACAGTGAATGGGCAGCTATCATTAACCTAGAGATCCCTGTCTGTATGCACTGGGAGTGCTCAGCAGCATAGCCGTGCACTTTATCCACCAGGGCGCTCGCATACAGTCTTCGTGGGCCATACCCTACCTCTCCCAAAAATTTCATCCACATTACTTTTTGAATTATGCTCTTAACAAACAAACCAAAGCAAAAACATAACTCCTACTTTTTGAGTTAAAAACAGAAAATATTGCTTGGTATTCTAAATTACGTTTCCTTTAACCTTCCCCTTATCTGCTGAATCAAGAGGCTGTAAATCGGATGCCAGCTTCACGGTCTTATGAAAGGACTCCTCTGTTTTCATCTGGTCCACTAACATGAGTTAATGATAGGACAGGCCAAAATGAAATGGTAGATTTTTCAGAGGTGGAAGAAGTACTTGGATTCTTTACTAAAAGTAAAAGTAGCAGTACCACAATGTAACAATTCTCTGTTACAGGTAAAAGTCCTGCATCCACAGTGTCACTGAAGTAATAGTGCAAAAGTATTAGCATCAGAATATGCTTAAAGCACCAAGAGTAAAAGTAGTTATGCAGAATTATGCATATAATGTTAATGTAAATTACTGGATTATAAATACTAATGCATTATTGTGTTCATTGCTTTAATGTTGCTGCTGACAAAGGTGGAGCTAATTTTAACCACCTTATAATTTGAACTTCAGCTGAGTAGTTTGTAAATTTCCCTCCAGAGATCAGTGAAGATTTTGATTAGGCTTAAAATGTATTTTCTTTTATTCATGTGATTCTGAAAAATAACTAGAAACTCAAGTTATCAAATAAATGTAGTGGAATAAAAAGGTACGGTAAGTTGAAGTAGCAGAAAATGAAAATAATCAAGTGAATTGTACTTAAGTGCAGTGCTTGAGAATATGTAGTTATTTTCTACCACTGACTTTTTTTTGGAACTAAGGTTGTCACTGCCATTGTTACATCACTATGACTAGTAAGCACAGGCTATATGAAGGAAAGATCAGGTGAGGATGGATGGGCTCAGATGTGCAAAAAAATTGTCATTCAACCCCCCATTTAACCTCAATGGGCATCATATTCTGAGAAGACAGAATAGAGAATACAATAGCCCTTCAGTCATTTTTATCTGTGTAAAATGTGCATTTAGTTGGAGGTGTTTATATTTCTTACATTCATGATACTTTTTATGGAATGTGTTGGTTTGTATATGTTTTGTCTTTCTGTGAACACAAAAATTGTCGTACCTAGGACAACAGACTATAACTGATTTCAATGTATCATCCAATAGGCCGCAGATGGTGAAGGGCTGTCTGAGGGCATCAGGCCAGAGAGCAGTGAACAAGAGTATGGGATCCCATGCACTGATACTCTTGGGTGTGTTGTGAGAAGGACCGACGGTGCTCAGGGCTCCCAGTCACTCCAACCAGCCACAAGTTGGTCAGGTGAGAAATATTTTTTTAAGGGTGTGGTGGTTCAAGTGAGAGTGGGTACTACTATTCTTCTGCCACTGACAAGTTCACTGTCATTTATCAAATAATTTCAAAACTGTTGAAATTGCAGATCTACTTTGACATAAAATATGAGAATTCTCATTTTTTAAGTAGACTAACATGAAGGACGGTATAAGCACAGAATGAACTTTAGTGTATATGTTTCACTTACTGTGTGATAATGGTTTGTTATTGTGCCTTAAGCCAAAAGTTCACCACGCATGTATTGCTTTATAAAACAAAAAATGCCCAGTGTCGCATCAGTAATGTTTATTGCTAACATTTTCAGAACTCCATCATTGACAGTAAAACACAAAATTGGTTAATTTGATAGTAAAGCTGGCAAATATTTATCTTTAACTGTGGATAAATGTGCTGGGTAACAAGGTAAACACTGCTCTGCATATATACACCGATCAGCCATACCATTATGACCACATAGGAGTCAGTGCAGCAGCTGGTTGCCACACGTGTCACTGCAGCTCACTGTGAATCCATTTGCTTCCATAGTTCTACTGTCAGGGCGAGCACACATTTGTCAAGCAATCAGTGGAAAAACTTGTGTAGGAGTAAGAATGGGTAGTGAGGACAAGCTAGAGATTTTTTTTTTTTTTGACAACTTCAACAGCCTCCCCACTCTAGGTGTGATATCACCACTGTAGCCTCTGAATGTTTCTCTTCACAGATACCAATGTACAGTATCCATCCATCCATTTTCTACCACTTATGTGGGGGCAGGTCGCAGTGGCAGCAGGTTCAGTAAGGTAGTCCAGACGTCCCTCTCCCCAGTGACGTGTTCCAGCTCCTCTGGCAGGATTCTGAGGAGTTTCCAGGCCAGAGGAGAAATATAATCTTTCCAGTGTGCTCTGGGTCTGCCCTGGGGTCTCCTGCCAGATGAACATGCCTGGAAGACCCCCAAAGGAGGCGCCGTGGAGCCATCCTGACAAGATGCCCAAACCACCTCAACTGGCTCCTTTCTATGGGAAGGAGCAGCGGTTCTACCGAGTCCCTTCCGGATGACCGAGCTCTGCACCCTATCTCTAAGGGTAAGTCCGGCCACCCTATGAAGGAAACTCATTTTGGCCTTTTGTATTTATGATCTTATTCTTTCGGTCACTATCTACAGCTCGTGACCATAAGTGAGGGTTGGAGTGTAGACCAACTGGTAAATTGAGTTGTGTACAGTATTTATTTAATCTTTAGAAAAGCCCAAATGGTTGAAAACCAACTTAACTTTACTACAGTCAACCTTTATAGAACTTGCAAAAAATATTTATTATACTGAAACACTGCCCATCATAATATTGATTTATTTGTAATACATATTCAGGAGTGAGTGGACCAAGGAGCTGAGAATATGGACCTTCCAGGCTGTGGTAGGGGAAGCTTAATCTCAGGAGAACAGCACCTCCAGCCCAAAGTTAAAGTGAGCAATACTACCTGCTTTTATAACTGGCTTGCTTGAGTAAATTGTGATATGGACCAGAGGTTTACAAAAACTAATTTAGCCTATTTTGTCTTTGTTTTCAGTATAGAGGGTTTGTGGCATCATGGATGGACTGAAGTGTCTATGGTGATGTGCGCCACAGCCTCCAGATTGTTAGATCAACAAATTGCACTCATCTCTTCTGTGCTTTTTTTTGCCTCAAATCCAACCTCACTGAGGGAGGGAACAACCCTTCCCTCCAAACAGAAAGCTACTCCACCACAAACCAGCTGTGGGACACTGGGAAGACAGACTCTTGTCAACCCTCCTGAGAACACTAAGGTAAGAGAGAAAATCATGCAGCTCTAAAGCTCTGTAATTTGACCATTGCTGTAGAAACATGTTTGTATACTCACAGGCCACTTTATTAGGTATAGCCGTAATTGTATGCGATTTAGTGTAACATCTCCTTTTGGTGAAACTGTCATGTAAATTCAATTGTTATTCTAAAGGTGGTGTTGTACTGGACTCCATTATATTCAGGTTTCCCTGATATTCCGACTCATGTATGTAGCTGGTGAGGACAAATATAGACACACTTCCAAATGGAGTCCAGTACACCACCACCTTTAACAATTGAATTTACCACATGACAGTTTCACCAAAAACAAACATTAAGGCAGGTGTACCACTGTACAGGTGGACCCAATTAAGTGGCCAGTAAGTGTATTCAAAAGTACTTGCCCCATTTGATTTATGAATATTTATTTCAGGGAGACCAGTTGCAGACATGGATCATGCTGGAGTACACTGAAGAACTGGAAGCCCTGATCAAGCCCCTCCATCTAAAAAGTTCAACTGCAGACAGCTTTAAAGGCTTTATTACAGTAAATGGTAACATGTACCACTCTACAGAACCAGAAGACATCATCACCAAGCCTGTCTTAATGGCATTTTAAGTACTTTTTGGACAAATATGAGTAGTTGCACTGCTGTAATATGTAGATTTCTGGCTCTTAGCAACTGTCTGCAGTGAGGAAGGACATGAGGCAGAATGGACAAAACCCAAGCAATGATGACCTCTGTTGGAGTTAAGAGGCAAGTTGTTTTGACCCAGTTGGGATGCTGGCGCAGGCAACGTTACATGTTACGTTGCCTGCGCCAGCATCCCAACTGGGTCAAAACAACTTGCCTCTTAACTCCAACAGAGGTCATCATTGCTTGGGTTTTGTCCTTCCTCACTGCAGACAGTTGCGAAGAGGGCAGCACACAGCCAGTGGAGGACAACAGGTTCTCTGCCTTGACGACTTCAACGCTGCAGTAGGGATTTCCCATCTTATCCAACACTTTGGCAGCTGGTTGAGAGGCTGCAATAGAAAGGCTTTTATTAATGTAATCAAATAAGGTTTATTAATAAGTCATAAATACAAACTTGCTTGTAGGGGGCACAGTACTGGTTACTTGGCCAGTGAACACATTTTCTATTAAAAAAATCAACAGTGAGGAAAAAAATATTGTCTCACCATATGTTGAAGTAATCACTAGAGTAGCCATTACCAATTAACTGGTGACAAGTCCCCAAAAAAGGCAAGACAGTTGGGTTCATCAAGCCTAAGAAACAAAAAATTCATTTGAAAATGTAGATAGAGTGAGGCAGAAATGCAGAAGCAGAGCGATTTAAAAAAATTCCCATTTGTTTGCCCTCACTATCATGAAATAGATCATGCTAATTTTTAAGATCTTTTAACAGTAACTAATTGTGGTTGTCAAGCACCAGTGTCAAAGGATCCCAGGTTTCAGCAATACTAAACTAAAGGAAAGTTAAATGCAAACCTATCCACAACAATAAGAATGTTTAGCAAATATTTAACAATGTTCTGAATAATACAGTATTACTCACCATCTACATCATGGCTCTGTAGTGTGAGCCCATGAGGTTTTGGGTTATGTGGTTTCGAGTTCTGGACTTGACGTATTCAGCAGGTCTTTAATTGCACTGCATTCAAGAAAGAATATGAAATACATTGTTTTACATGTTTTTCTTTTCTTCACTATTGTTCCTTTCTATGATTCGTGCAATTTAATGCCTACCACTAAATACCAAACAAGGAAAATAAAGTATATATTTTCTGTGTGTAGTATATATGGCCTGTGTGGAATGCATTTAGTTTTTCAACCTTACAGTGAAATGAACAAGCCTTTCACCACAGAAGGTGGCATGAAACATCACTTGAATAGTAGCTTCTACAAACAGGAACTAATAAATAGTATATATTTGTACAAAGTATGGTTAGTCCTACTGTTGTGCATATTGCCAAAATTTAGATTCAGAATTTAATTTTAAGCAAACATGAATGAAAAGCCCTGCCGGGGTAATCAAACACTTCAAAAGGTAGTGAATACACATCTCACCTTATGTCAGATCAGTGTGTCACCCACTCTTATCTGCTTTATACTGCACTACTTTTAATCATGAAGAACAGACTACTTCATACAAAAACCACCACCACAGGGCATCTCTGAAGGTGGAAAATACTTTAACTTTTAAAAACTTATTAAATTGTATCATGGTTTGTTCTGATGAACTTACTTGTCCAGAGTTTAATGAAGAAGGAAGAAGTGTCAGTTTGTTCTTGAAGAGGGACAACGTAAAGCATGTGATTCCCATTGTTGCTGATCATCTTTGGCATCTTGGCTGTGTGACAGTTTCCTGTGCCACCAGAGCCCGGTTCCTCTGGCCATTGCCACCCTGAATGAAGAACAAGATATTGTTACTAAGAATGTGTCACAAAATATATGAAAATGATACATTTTTTTAACAATGAAAATGTAAAGTGCCTTAATTTGAAGGGCACATCTGTCTGCGTGGTTAGCATTTTCTACACAATATCTGACTGTCAGGCCTTCAGCAGTGAATTAACATCCCATGTGTGGTCTCGCTCTTCAAACAAATTTAGAAAACATTAAAAGATTCTACAGCGATTCTGTACCGGAAACTCCTTGTGTGTGTGTAACATACTTGGCCAAATAAAGGTCATTATTCCTTATCCAATAGGAGGTTACAGCTTATAATTTTTTTTTTTTTTTTTTTTACATAATTCAATGCTGGCATTGCTTCCACTGTCAAAAAGATTTTGAATACGAGCTAAATTTGAACAAAACAGGCTTTTAAAGACATTCAGAAGCCCTGGATAAACAGTCAGGTACACCACATGCTGCGTGCTCACTCCCATGCATTCAGATCAGGCAATGAGATGGAGTACAAAGCTGTGAAATACAGACTGAGGAAAGCATCACAGCGGCCAAGAGGCAGTACAGAGAGAAGCTGAATGGCTTCTATTCTACTGGTGACTGGACGGATGTGGCAAGGCCTGCAGCACATCACAGACTACAGGACCACCACCAGCATCATCAGCTCCACAGACAGCCTGCCGGATGACCTCAACGTCTTCTACACCCGCTTTGAGACCTCCAGCCACAGCACAGAGAGGAGGCACACACACACGCACACCACCCAACCCCCCACCTCCCCTCCACTGTCTCACCAGGCCAGGTACACATTGTCCTGAGGAAGATCAACCCCCGCAAAGCGGCAGGACCGGACAGCATCCCTGGGAGGGCTCTCAGGGCTTGTGCCAGCGAGCTGGCTGATGTTCTCACCACCATCTACAATCTCTCCCTCCACCAGAGCATCATTCCCACCTGAATGAAGTGTTTTGAAAGAGTGGTGCTGGCCCGCATTCAGAGCAGTATACTGGACCCCCTGGAGTATGCCTACCGGCCCAACAGGGCCACCTCAGACACCATCACGGCTGCCCTCCACTATTCCCTTTCTCACCTAGAAAATGGAGACTCCTACATCAGGATACTCTTCATTGACTACAGCTCCGCCTTCAACACAGTTGTCCCCCACAAACTGTTTGCACCCCACCCTCTGTGACTGGCTCCTGAACTTTCTGACTGGATTTCAGCCAGCATTGTTACAAACACTGGCACCCCACAGGGATGTGTCCTCAGTCCCATCCTCTACACCCTGTTCACCCACGACTGTGTCGCCTCCCACAAAGACAACATCATCCTAAAGTTCGTGCACGACACCGCAGTGATAGGTTGCATCACTGGCGGGGACGAAGCAGCCTACAGGAGGGAGGTGGTCCGTCTGGTGTCATGGCGCAAGGACAATAATCTCAGCCTCAACACGGACAAGATGAAAGAGATGATAGTGGACATGAGGAAGGAGAGGAGATCTCATCAGCCACTGTTCATCTAGGGGCTCAAGGTGGAGAGGGTGAGCAGCTTCAAATACCTGGGTGTCCACATCAGTGAGGACCTCACTTGGACACTTAACACCACACAGCTGGTCAAGAAGGCCCAACGGCGGCTGTACTTCCTGAGGA